ATGAAAAAAAAATATATGATGATTTTAATAAGCGTAGTTAAGTCTTATTTAACGGATACAGTTGGTAATTAATAACAACAGACATGAAGTACTGCGCTTATTTCTCTTATATGTCTTAGCTTGTTAATAACAGAGAGAGTAAATTTAAAAATAAAATAAAATGTCTTATGTTTTGCCAAATGGGAACAGATTGACGCGTGAAAAATAGAAATATTTTATTTCTGTCAATGGCAACACGTTTCTTTCGAAAATGTTTCATTCCCCGTGTAGTGCAGCGCGTGCAGATGAATATTATGAGAAAGCTAAGCCGGAAAAATTAAAAATACAAGAGCACGTGCATTTAACATTTAATAAATAAATTTAACATCTATTATAATAGAATTCGGAATTGCAACCGTCAGTAGCCGTCAAAACGAAAAAAAAAAAAAAAAAAAAAAAAAAAAATTGAATAATAAATATCTTTATTATATGCGGCTTAAGTGTCTATTTTTTCGCCGATAGTTTTATTGGTTGCTTGCGTAACTGTACTAGCCAATGGGGTGAAGTTGCCAAGGCACAGGGCTGCCGTTTCAATTGAGACGTAGACAATTTCCTGTAAAACTTGTCTTTGCTATGACCATCCATAAGTCTCAGGGCCAAACGCTTAAGTGTGTTGGCATTTTTTTACCTGAGCCTGCATTTGGAGACGGTCAACTTCATGTTTCCTGTGCAAGAGTTCGTGAAAGAACGGATGTAAAATTAAAAATAATTGATGGTCCTCTGCAAGGCGAGCTTAAAAATCATGGATACCCAAGAAATGTTGTGTACAAAGAGATCTTTGACATGTGAATTAACATTGCATTATTTAAATCACCTTTATTTATTGAGCTAGCGGTCGCTCTTAAGAAACGTACCTCCAGTGGTTTCCTTCATTGCACTCTACTTTAAGCAATTAAGCAAGTAGAAGGGGGAAACCCCGCGAGCAGTAAGCAAAAGGGCGTCCTCGCCGCCTGCCCTGGGTAATTCAGTTTAAATTAGCAGACACCTTTGCACAAATCATTTTAATTACAATTTATAATATCTAGAACAGCGGTCATTTCGTATGACCGCCGGGCTTTATGAAATAAATAAAAATACAAATTGAAATTCCAAACTTGGGTTTGTAGTCATTAAAATATTGTTTTTGTTAATCGCGTTTGTTAAAGCATTTTTGGGGTTAATAGTCTTTAGAAAATCAAGCAGTTTATTTAAATCGATTTGAACCTGAGTTTTTGAATGCAGTGAACCTCATCTAAGAAGAACATCTATGATCATAGACGATTTTGGTCTTCTTTGGTGTGGTCGTCTTAGTGAAGTGATGCTTAATACGATGTTTATTTATGTTCTGAGAAAAGATGGTTGAGGTGGTCGTCTTAGGGAAGCAGTCGCTGGAAGTGGTTTCATTGTACTGTATTTACTATTTTCTTGTCGCGGATTGTTTCAGATTGTAATGAATTATTGAAAGTGGTAATTGTTTAGGGTTTGGTAGGCTGAATTAAATTAAAATGTTTCAAAAACTGCTGTATGATAAAACTTTATCCTCTCCTCGTATTTCATCTAGAAAATTTGCATGAATAATTAAGCATAATTTCTACATGATCATAGACGATTTTGGTCTTCTTTGGTGTGGTCGTCTTAGTGAAGTGATGCTTAATACAATGTTTATTTATGTTCTGAGAAAAGGTGGTTGAGGTGGTCGTCTTAGAGAAGCAGTCGCTGGAAGTGGTTTCATTGTACTGTATTTACTATTTTCTTGTCGTGGATTGTTTCAGATTATAATGAATTATTGAAAGTGGTAATTGTTTAGGGCTTGGTAGGCTGAATTAAATTAAAATGTTTTAAAAACTGCTGTATGTTAAAACTTTATCCTCTCCTCGTATTTCATCTAGAAAATTTGCATGAATAATTAAGCATAATTTCTACATGATCATAGACGATTTTAGTCTTCTTTGGTGTGGTCGTCTTAGTGAAGTGATGCTTAATACGATGTTTATTTATGTTCTGAGAAAAGGTGGTTGAGGTGGTCGTCTTAGGGAAGCAGTCGCTGGAAGTGGTTTCATTGTACTGTATTTACTATTTTCTTGTCGCGGATTGTTTCAGATTGTAATGAATTATTGAAAGCGGTAATTGTTTAGGGTTTGGTAGGCTGAATTAAATTAAAATGTTTTAAAAACTGCTGTATGATAAAACTTTATCCTCTCCTCGTATTTCATCTAGAAAATTTGCATGGATAATTAAGATAATTTCTACAAAATGTTAGATAGTAATCTCAGATTTTCAGATCACAGTTTATTTTTAAATCTCTTTACCTTATGTTATATAATAACTAGTTATGACTTTGAAAAACAGTCGAAATAAAAACTGTTCAAAAGCGAGAGACACATATGCTGCACTCTGCATCTCCTTTTTCCATCATATTTGATTTTCATTAATTGCTTTTTCTAAAGCTGATAAAATATTCTGTATAGAAGGGGGCTGGATACCCCTTACGTTTTTCTGTATAATACACAGCATACAACATAATCATAATACAAATAATTGCATATAAATACCTTAAAGGTAACAATTTCACAAAGGTATTGTAGAGACATTAGGTTATTTTTTTTAAAGCAGAGACATGAACAATGAGCAGTGCCCTCGCCGGGACTCGAACCACGGACCTCTCGAATACGCGCCGAGCGTGCTGACCATTACACCACGAAGGCATTCTAAGAAGGCGGGAGAAATACCTTACAAGACTTTTAATTTTTTATTTGCATTTTTTAAATTTAATTTTATTTTATAGATATAAACAATTTTGTAGAAACAAATCCCACATTCTAATGGCATAAAAGTTTGACTTTAATTAATGTCACTTTTTAATATTTGCCTTAAATTTGCTTAATTTAATTTTTAAATCACCTTGTTCAAAAATATTAAAAATTTGTTTCCCGTTCTAGTTTTGCGTTCTTCTTAGTATTCTATCGTGTTTTCTTGAGCTCTTGGGGTTAACGTTTTTATATTGCACTTATAACATAAAAAAATGTTATAAAAATGTTGATTTTCAAAAGATATTGAATAATTTTAGTTCTTATATTTATTTTATATGTTTTATTCCTTACTACATGATACAGCAATAAACAATTAATTATCAATTTTATTATTATTATTGTTTTTTTTTAATTAGTCGGATCTTGATTATGGCCATGCATGTTTGGCAAATCCACCCCTTCATCACCACTAACCCCCTTTAAAATTGCATTGACATCTAGAATGTCAATACTGACCCCTTTGGGAACCCCTGCTCTGACTGACTGAACTCTCTAAAATAGCGTTTCTTAAACAGTGTGTCGCCACTGCAAGTTGGGTCGGAAAGTGAAATGGTGGGGCCGCAAAAATATAATTCAGATAGGAAAATGTAAAGAAATTACATTAATTGGCCTTCATGAGCTTAATTAATCTGGCATATAAAACCAGAAATGAATTTGTTGAGCTATCGAGTGACTCAAAACTTGAGTTTCTACAAAAATCCATGACCGAAATCTGAATGAAAGCAAGAAATGAATCCCCACAATTTCTGAAATTGCATTCAGTAGTCTTCTGACATTCTGCACCATACGTGAAATAATTTTTTTCAGATTTAATAATTGTTAAATCCAAATGTCGTTCAACGCTGAAAATGATGAAGAGGCTTTACGTCCAGCAGTATCAAATATTGCACCGAGATTTAATTTGTAATGCAGCAAAACATAAGCATACCCTTCTCTTTAAAACGTGATTTTCTTTCATTAATTTTTGAATACTTGAAACAAATCCTAAAGCTACTTCATTTCACAATTTTTAAAGTTCGACCTTTTTCCTGAACAGTAAGTCTACATCATGGCTTTCATGATAGGATTTTTTTTTAAAAAATTTTCGTTGTTATTGATCTTCATTCTTTTCCTACTTTCCAGAGCCCATCCATCGTGGTGGGTTTGCGCTTAGAAAGAATTCTTTTCGGGAGACCAAAGGCACAACAGTGCACAGGAGAAATGCCAGGAGACATCGCAGGAATGCGTTGAAAAAGATATATGCAATATCTGTATCAGTCTTAATTTTTTTTCAAGGAATTTCAAAGTGGTACTTTTCCAAGTATGACTTTTGAAGTTTCATTCTGTGAAAGCCATTGGAATAAAGAAATGGAATTTCTTCCGTAAAATATCGGCCGTAAAACTTTGTCTCAATATGACGTTAAATTAATTTTAACATTTTTTCATTCTTCTTATTTTTTAAATTTCCATTGTAAGAAAATCTCACGACAATCATAATCCCTCACTGAAACTTTCTTTGCATTGATGAAACCTGGTTTGCATATTTTTTCTTTTCGTTTTCTATAGTAATTTTATTATTATTAATATTTAGTTTACAAACAGTACGTTGCTCTTTCCAGTATTCGTTTGGAGTTTTCTTTCCGTGTAGAAATAATGATTGATCGTTTTTCTCTTTCCAATAATAATGTTGCTTCTATTGCACTTCTAAATTTTGATACGATGCATTTGGCAACGTTTTTTAATCGAATGGATGGATATATTTCTGTTCGGAAAGCGAAAAAACGTATCCTTGAGTTCATGCTGTTTACATGCGACATTTTGAAAGAAGAATCAATTGAAAATTGATATCCTTACTGAAATTGTCCTAAAAATGTATAAACACCCAATGTATATTTAATATCTGCGATCGCGAAAAAAATCTCGATGGTAAAAAGCGGTTAGGAATGAAAAAAGTTGAAGAAACTCTGCTATAACCTTATTTGGACTTTTTTGGTGTTTTTGTTATTGACTTGTAAAATGAGAATCCTTATTTTGTGAAGTAATCCGCATATAATACGATATTTTTCTTTTACAGCGACGTTTTCTGAACCAGCTAGCGCGCGCGTATATGCAGTTCGCTCGCATTCGATCCTCGACCCCTACACTAGCGCACTCTGCCGGTCTTTCGTGTATGTCCTCCTCATCCACTTCCTCACAGGCCGCAGTCGATAGCGGGCTTTTCCTCAGTGCGTGCTGAAGTAAGCACTGCTCTACGCATTTCTCTCCTGTCATCTCTGTGTTTTTGTGATACCGGACCATCCCAGCTGGAGCTTTGAGCGCTCGCCTCATCCATGCGTTTAGTGGAATAAAGCAACTGTTTTTGTGTTTACTGTGACCGAGATGGCAACGAAGTCCGTGTGGTCGCCCCCGTATCGTCGTCGGCAACGCTGGTGCAAGTCGGCGGACGAGGCGACGACAAGCGATGAGGACTTGCTCTCGGATGCGGGCATCGACGTCGACGATGACGAGGTGAGTAACGATTGTTTTCGAGGCAGGGGGTGAGAAGGGTTGAAGGAAGAAGTTCCTGCGCTACGGTAGAAGATTGCGGGGAGTGTATTTATCAATGATTGTTCTTTTCTCCATAAAGTGGAGGTTCGTTTAGACCGCATCCCTGGTGCGAGTGTTGGGAATCATTCGATTGCAAAACAACAATCGCCATTTTTGCACCCCAAGTTCGCTTTCATTATTATTAAAAGTTTCCAGAATTTCGTAGTTTAAGCTGGTGTCGCAGTTAGTCAGTCCCCGGATTCTGTAACCTCCCGGTAGATAGCTACACCTATCTTCTTTATCCCCACAACAGCTGGGTAGCTTTTTGCTACTTCATACAAGTATCAAGTGTCTCTTTCATTCCACTCAAAAGCAGTTTCTCAAGAACCATGAATTTGGTTTTTTAGTGTTAATTCTGTGGAGCCTAGAAATGTCTTCCATCGATCAGCAAATCTGGACCCTCCAGCAATGAGGTCACATGGGTCGATGAAACTTGAAGGGATTATTCTCCTCCATGTTGTATTAAAAATCAAGTTTAAAGGTATTTAACAAATATAAACTGTCCTGTAGTATATAATCCAGGTAAAAAATGTGGAGATTGGGAATTTCTTTTCCAAAAATTAAACTGTTTACGTAATTTCTAAAACAAATTTATTACTGAAAAGAATTTAAATCATCATATGTAGGTAGCTGCAGTTTAATAAATTTCTATGTATAATTTTTATTAATATATAGTTTATTTTCGTATACGTTATTTTATTTATGTATGTATTGAATATCAGCACGTATCTGAAACGAAACATTTAAATAACATTAATGTTTCAAGGAATTCCATGTACCCATTATGAGCATATAACGGTGAATCCTCTCGGGGTGACGCCTCCATAAGACGAATGCTTCTGAAAGTAGCTGGTAGTTTTGAGAGTATCAATGACACATATATTGAGCATCGCCTATTTAATACGGCCACCTACATAGATAGGTTCTATGACCGTGGTCTAAAAAAGCGGCCAGCGGGAGGCATACGGACCGCAAACAAATACCGTGCTTTAAAGATTTAAGTTATTAGAGGTCCGAATTTATGTTATTTTTATTTTTTGCATTTTAAAAAATACATGAGTAACTCACGAGGAAATCTGTAAATGGAGCTAATTTATTCACATTGTGATATAAATCGTATGAAAGGAATTGAAGATGAAGATTTAATTAATTTTATTCATACGTTTCAATAAAAAAGTAAGCTAGGTTACGAATTTTTGCAGTAAGCATAATCGCTTTGTTTTGGAAATACATTTACATATAAACAGCTTTTTCTTATAGTTTAAAGTTAATTAAATTCCGATGGCTAGATGAGCATCTACAATCCATAATGAAGATAATTTCTATTAATTTCTCTCCAAGGGTATAAACTTTATAAAAATCGAAACACCATCAAGTGTCAAGCTGTAATAAGAAATCAAAGATGATTATTTATATACAGACATACATATTTTTATTTATGCTTCGAAGAAACATTTAATAAATAAGGGATAATAGGTTGCCGTTACTGATTCTTAGATTTTGTCCCGCTTAGAAAATTTCTCTGAAAACTTGGAAAGTTTTCATAATTTGTTTATTACTTTCTTGTAGGAAATAAAGAAAGTACTGTAAAAGCGAAAATTTTCGGTTACCAGATTTCAACAGAAAATTCCATTTTGATCATTCCCAAATCTCCCTCCCCCTTTTTTTTTTTTTTTGCGTGACGTTTGTACGTATGGATAGAATAAAGAGTTTTTTTTATTCCGAAATGGATTGTTAAATGGATTCAAAATGGATTTTTTCATGACGTCTGTGCATGCGTATATTTCTCGCTTAACTCAAAACGATTAGTCATAGAACATTAAAATTTTATATATGGGACTGCTGTAACATCTAGTTTTGCACCTCCCTTTTTTATTGCCATCGGCAACATGAAAAGTCTATGTGTGTATGTATATATGTATATATAACGATTATGTATAATAGTTGGTCATAGACATATACATCCAATTACAGAACTTTTTTAAATATCGAAAATATTCATGTTTTGGTAATGCCAAATTAAGGAAAAAATTCTGTACAAATAGCCAAATCTGACTTTTATTGCGGTCTCTCGGTTCCTGCACTTACATTTGGGAAAGTTTTGTTCTCATGATGAAAAAATAAAATTATAAGAAGTTTGACTGTCGTACGACAAACTTGTCCGGCATGTTTAAATTCAAAATTGTAATTTTTGATGTCATTTTCAACTTGCCTCGAGGAATCAGTTAATTAAGTTAGAATAATTCGAGGAAATAAGTTTAAATGAAGTGCAACAAAATATGTGTATAATTTAATGGGCCATACAAGGAAGTAGTGTTGTTTACATCAGATTTTTTTAGGTTATAAGGTATTTCTCCCACCGGCATGTCTTCGTGGTGTAGTGGTTCTGCACGCTGGGCCGGTATTCCAGAGGTCCGTGGTTCAATTTCCGGAGAAGGCGTTTGCTCATTTTTCATCTCTTCTTTTCCAATTAACCTAATGTCTCTATTGTGGCACCCGAACTAAAAAGGGTTTTGGATGATGGTTCTCCTCACCCAGGATTTGGCGATTGGGTCCCCTAATAACCCCAGTCGACCCTTTAAAAAGGGGTTATTTCTAAACAATTAACAAGGTTATTTCTCCCACCTTCTTGGCGTCCCTTCGTGGTGTAGTGGTTCTGTACGCTGGGCGGGTATTCCAGAGGTGCGTGGTTCGAATCCCGGCGAAGGTGATAGCTAATTTTTCATCTCTTTTGCGTCCAAAAAATCCTAATGTCTCTACAAGGTTAATGAAAGTAAGCTATTTAATGATTAATTAAACATAATTAAGCTGTCAATTTATTTGAATTACTAGAGTAAATATAAAATATGAATTTTTGTCATGTGAGATATTATTGTTATTATTGATATACGTTTGGAAGAAATTTAGTTAAGTGGAATTTAAAATTTATATAAAATAATTTCGTATTTTGTTATGTTTGTTATTGTTTGTTTGTTTATTCATAAAGAAATCCTTTTGTTAAAAATTGTTCGATCAGCTGTTTTCATATTGTTCATTCAACCCGCAAACGAGCTGAGTTTGACACCACTGATTTGTGGAACCAGGGGTAGTTGTCTTAGAGAGGCTTCATTGCGGATTTTATTCTGATCGCAAATTTAAACAAAGAACAGTTCGTTTATGCCGAATATTTTTCCTAAATCGTTTTATGAGCAGAGTAGACTAGTGCACTCTTTATCAACACAAACAAATGATTTTAGAATTGATTAAAACTTGTCTTTTTCATCGGGTATTCGAACCGGATGAATAGCTCATTTTATTCGCTGTGTTTTGACATCCTTGAAAGTATTTGAGTTCTATACTAGGTGATATATTTCATAACTAAAGCGAGTGGATTTGATGTGTAGGCTAGTTTTCTTTTTGTATAACGTCAATACGAGCTAGTATCCTCCACAACGTCACCTTTCCCCATAGACTAATAGTGCTTTGAATTTAGCCATAATCATCTAAATCAATCATTTCGCGATTAAACGTTTCTCTTTGTATTCCGTGTATCTGAATGCCAACAAATTGCTTTTTTAAAAGTCTTTCGAACCAAAAAATATTCATATCAGAAAACTGTGCTTTAGTTTTCATTAGTTTCTTTCTCTGTTTTTAAAATTTAATTTATATGTATGTGTTCAGAGTTTTTGCATTTTACTGTTATACGTGAGCTTAACTTATATAAGTAGAGTATAAGCATTTCCAACGAATAAACCAAGTTTAAAATGTCAAAAATTTAATCTTAGATTTACCTTCGTTGTATAAAAAGGTGTTCCGTATATTTCAGAAGAATTTGATACTGTTTTTGTTCTTTTTCAGAAAGGAGCAAAAAATATTTTACTGCATGTTACGGTGTCCAGAATACTATTAACATTTACAAATTTACTTAAATTTAATTGCTGGTATAACTAACGTCTTCAAAACTATTAAAACACCTAAAGGAATAGTTTAAGATATGTATTGTAGGTTAGATAATTAAAAAAAAATTTTCTTCTCCCCCCTTCTTTTAAAAGCCCGAAAGGGCTATCAGTCTCGAAACACGATTTTGCGTTGTTTCAGTGTAATGCAATGTTTTAATATTTCATTCGAGTCTGTTGCCATTCGATAAGTAATTTTGCATAATTTTGTAACATCGATTTGTAAAATATTATTTTTTCATATTTAATCTGTCTTCTTAACGAACAACGATATTTAAAAGCAATAGCAGCAGTTCATCAGAATATTATTTTTGTACTTTTGAATCGATTGATTTAAATTAAAATGCATTTCATTCATTACATATTTAATTAAAACACATGAAAGTATTTGTATAGAATTTATAAGGTATTTCTCCCGCCTTCCTAGCGTGCCTTCGTGGTGTAGTGGTCAGCACACTGAGCCGGTATTTCAGAGGTTCGTGGTTTGATTCCCGGCGAAGGCGGTTAGATTATGTATTTTTACATAAGACATATGACATATTTTACACAGAAGACATATGACGTTCTCATGTTAATATTATCTAATATCTTGTACAGTCAATAAATTCTGAATCCTTTCAGGTTTTTTCCGCTTCTGCCTTTGTTTTTTTAAACTGATATTTGATTACTCCAATTTCTTGAAAAATTTTTATTTTCAATGCAGCAGGCATAATTATTAAAATTTCTAGTTTAATATCAAACCTGATATTTTTATATATTTACAGATTTCCTTTTAAGTCCTCCTAAATTACAAAGATCTTTTTCAAACAGTTAGGAAAATAATTTAAGAGATCGCGAAAACTTTATTGTAATTTACCCAAATTACTTAACTTTTAAGCTTTAGATCCTCGCCATTTTGATGTTCTGAAACTCGCTTGAAACACATATGAGCGATGTATAATGTGTTACCAGTAAGTTTCTATTTTACTGTGGTTCTTTGATTCTTTC